GGTGCACTGTGGGGGGTGCACTGTGGGGGGTGCACTGTGGGGGGTGCTCCGAGAGTATGGGATTGTGGCCCGTTGTTACGGCTGTTCGGTCCCTGTACAAGCAGGATGTGGGCTGACTTCAGGCTCAGGGAATTGAACTACCAGATCTGACTTTAACAATAATAAAATTTGGAGTTTATTTTCAAAACTCTAATATATTTTTTTTAAGTAATAACCTAATATTACTAGAAAAATGTTTTGTTCATAAATGTAGATTTTTTTTAAGGAGAATCCAAATTTATGTCATGGGAAAATTACCTGAAATCTTTTTGTGAGTCTCTTAAATTGGTTAAAAGTTAATCTGCTCAACAACTTTATACTTTGATCAATAACTTTGATTTGATATAAACTTCTAAATTTGTTCCTTGTTATTTTTTTATTTTTTTGGTCTATTCTTTGAATGTATATAACTCAACCTGTGAAATGTAATTGTTGCTTTGTGTTACATTACTTGCCTTGGTTTCTTTGTAAATTGTTGTTCATTAAAAAAAAAACAACAACCAACCTTTCCTCTGGGCTTAAAGCCCAGTAACAATAAAACTTAAAGTTGGATTTCGTATACAAATCGACGGATTTGACAGATTTGATGCCAAGTGGGACCACTTCGTCTAACAGCTCGACACCGGTCACTGAGCGGAGCAGAACTGACGAGGATGATGTCAGACTTCCTACTCCTGTGGTCATTAGTAGCCGTCCATGCTACAGCAGGTAAATCAACGTTCTTAATAATGTTTGCTTGTGTTTACTTCGGTTGCACAACAACCAACTGAGTGAGTATTTTAATTTTTCTTGCGAGGAGAAGCTGCCTTCCCACCAGAGGCGGACCAGTTCCAAACGAGCTTACACCTCGGCCTGAAGCTCGGCGGTGAAGGAGGACGTCGAAGAGAGATGTTGGAGCAACTATTCACTTTAAATTCCCCTCAGTTCTTTTATTCAATCCATTCAATGTTTTAAGCTGCATTAATCAAAGGAGTGACAGCCTGAACAAGCCAGATAAACAACATGGCGTCAGTATCCAGGATGAAAACAGAGAGGAAGAGTCCAGTTCTTTTATGTAGTTTACAGTTCAGTTAACGTGTTTTTAATAGTGTGTTCAGTTTTCTTATCAGTGTTTGTGAGACATACAGTTTGTGGTGTTGAATGAATAAATAAATAAAAATGAAACAATGTCTTCATTTTCAACTGTAATAACATGCAGCATGTTTTTCATCGTTTAAATCGTATACCTAGAATTACATGATGTCCAGGTAGCTTCGTTTAGCTCAGAGAGCTCCATTAAATTTCCCACCACTAACATATATATATACATATATACTGTTTATTATTCTTACTGCTATTATTTAGCACATTTAATATGTTATAGTCCAGCATGACACGTGAAGTATAGGTCTGCCTCAACAGGTTCGTTAGCGATATTAGAACTGGATCCGACTGGCGTCGCTTCCCAACACAAATGTCAGTCACAGCAGCTACATTACAGCGTAGATTAACTACGAGACCCAAAATATATTCCATCAGTCGTAGCTCAGAGGCAGTATGTTGCACTCCGGCACCATTGTTGTTGATAGAAATATGCTGTGGGTCAGTTTGTGTGTGAAATATAGGCCTGTAGTGCGCATGTGCTTTAACACCTCTGCTGGACTTTTGACACTTCTCATAACCAGATCACCAGAAAACCTCCACTCTGAGACCTGGGTTCAAAAACTTCCAGATTCAAAGAGGGGGACGACTGGTGGCATGTAAATGAACCGCAGAGAGAAAGGTGCAGTTTCACTCAAAATGTGCATCGTTTAAACGGCTCCTCAGTTGGCCTGGGAACGCCTTGGGTCCTCCCAGAAGAGCTGGAAGAGGTGTGTGTGGAAAGAGATGTCTGGACCTCTCTGGTGAAGCTGCTGCCCCTGAGTGGATAGATATGAATCAACACCTTTTTACCTATAAAGCATAACAAAATCATCTAGACTGTTACAATCAAGCAGCCAAACAACCAAATGCAAACAATAAACCAAACTAAGTTTATCCTGATGCATGCTCAATAATCCAGGTAGAAAAATCTAAAAAAGTTAAACCTGGTCCTCTAAACTAAGTTTAGATTTTCCATTCCATCATCTTAACCCACTTCATCCTTTCTGGGTCACGGGGGTCACTGGTGCTCATATCCAGCTATTGCTGTGCGAGAGGCAGGAGACACCTGGACAGCTTGCAAGATCACCACAGGGATTAACCCTAACCCTAACCCATTAACTTAAATATGTGTTAAGAAAATGCTCCAAGTATAAAATGTTCAGATTAAGTCCATAATGTTAAATCTGTAAGAACTTTGAAGTAGTCGTGCCCTCTTCAGTCATTATTTTTCTGCCAGGTGATTTTAGATGGTTGCAGCATTAAAATATGTTCTTGTGGTATTTTCTGTCTCACATCCTGCACAAAAACTGATTTTAGATGAAGAAACAAATGTTTTACAGTCAGTTAAGCTTTTCAGAAACTTTCTACATCTGAGGGAAACTAGCATCATTCTGACATCTGCATCTGTTTTATTACTGATTAATATTTTATCCTTTGCAGTATGGCCATCATTTATGGAGTTTTCTCTGCATCCAACCTGATGGCTCCCTCCGTGGTAACCGTCATCGGACCCCAGCTCTCCATGTTCATCAGTGGTCTTCTATACAGGTAAACTTGCTTTGGCCAACACATCCGAGGCAACATAAAGCAGACTCCTGACCAAGTTCTGTGTGCTTTTCACAGCGGTTACATTGCAATGTTCATCCACCCGCTCACATGGAGCTTCTACACGGCATCTGTCCTGGTTGGAGTGGCAGCAGCAGGTGCAGAGACGGCACCAGGAAAATGGTTCTGTTTGTTTTTCTCACTGCTGATTGGTTCTTCTCTGGTCTGCAGTTCTCTGGACAGCTCAGGGAAATGTGCTCGCCATCAACTCCAACGACAACACCATCGGTAGGAACAGCGGCATATTTTGGTCTCTGATGCAGTTCAGGTAAATTTCTTTGTCCAACATTAAACCAGTTTATCCTACAACATTAAACCAGTTTGTCCTACAACATTAAACCAGTTAGTTCTACAACATAAACCAGTTTGTCCTACATTAACCAGTTTGTCCTACAACATTAAACCAGTTTGTCCTACAACATTAAACCAGTGTGTTCTACAACAAACCAATTTGTCCTACATAAACCAGTTTGTCCTACAACATTAAAGCAGTTTGTCTCTAAACATTAAACCAGTTTGTCCTACAACATTAAACCAGTTAATTCTACAACATTAAACCACTTTGTTCTACAACATAAACCAGTTAGTTCTACAATATTAAACCAGTTAGTTCTACAACATAAAGCAGTTAGTTCTACAACATAAACCAGTTAGTTCTACAACATTAAACCAGTTAGT